TGCCATGACCCCCAGCCCGGAGCCCACGGGCACTACCTGAACCCGCCTTGTCCAGGAAGTGCAGCTCGGTGTGGAAGCCGCTCAGCTCTGGGTACTTCTCGGTGATCACCCGCACCAGGTAGTGCAGCAGAGTCTGCTTGCGGTCCGTGGACTTCATCTCCAGGAGCTGGGGGGGGGCAGGGACAGAGCAGGGTCAGCCCCACCTGTGGCCCATCACCCGCCTCACCTGCTTAGGGTGGGCTCTGGGGGCCTCCATCCCCATGGCTGTCCCTGCATCCCTGCATCCCCATGGCTGTCCCTGCATCCCTCCATCCCCTTGGCTGTCCCTGCATCTCTCCATCCCCACAGCTGCTCCTGCATCCCCATGGATGCCCCCACATCCCTCCATCCCCAGGCATGTCCCTGCATCCCTCCAGTCCCACAGCTGTTCCCACATCACACCATCCCAGTGGCTGGTCCCTCCATCCCTATGGCTCTTCCCACATCCCTGCACCCCCACGGTGTCCCTCTCTCCCAGGGCTGGTCCCCAGGCAGTGACAGTGTCCCCATGTCCCCCACACCGTCCCTACCGCGTCCAGGCTCTGCAGCCGGAACCCATAGGCAGCCCCGCGCTTGCTGCTGTTCATGTAGTTCCCAAAGGCCAGGACGATCTGTGGGGACACGAGGGCTTGGGCACAGGGCACCCAGGGGAACACAGTGCAGCACCCAGCATCACCCACCTCCCCCCAAGCTCCTCACCTCCAGGATGTTGCGCAGTTTGCTGGAGGACTTGAGGGACATGGAGGCGGCGATGATGGCGTTGAGTTGCTGCGGGTGGGGGAGAAGGGCCTGAGTATCATGGCAGGATGTCACCCCTGGTCCGGGGGGACAACCTTCCACTTCCAAGTCTGCTGGGACCTCTCTGCACCAGGACACCTCTACATCAGGACATCTCTAGACCAGGACACCTCTACACCAGGAGCACTCCCTGTGGATCATCACTTCTCCTACTGTGGAGTCCTGGTGGAGAACTGGCGGTGGCAAGTTGTCCTAGACCCACCCGCTCCCCCCTGGACACCCTGTGTCCCCCCAGCACCCACTGGCATGAGCAGCTGGGCTGTGTCGCTGAAGTTGCCCAGGAAGATCATGACGTTCATGCGCTCGGCCAGGCGGGGGATCCTGC